CGAGCGGAGCCGAAGATAGCCGAGCCCCGTAACCTGGCAACTACGCAATGCTAATCAACAGCGGTGATGTCACACTAGCAACAGCGTCCTATGCTATCCGCCACGTCACACTAGCAACAGCGCAAGGCTATATAAGCGGACCCACAGCAGTGTGATGATCAGTTGAAACATAGCAGCCTGCGAGTGTGCGATAACTAAGAAGTCAGCGAGCGGAAGACTTATTGTGTGCTTTCCAGACATAGTGATTGCTGTAGTACAGTTATACTCAGAGTGTGTATTTCAGGGAGACTTGTATAGCTCCCGCGTTATTAGTACGTGAAGACAAGTGAAGACAGTGTTAAGAGATTTGTTGTAGGGTTTGTAAAGTGTGGAAACCCGTGATATTGTGATAATTAATTGTAGCCGTTACTCGTAGATTGTTCAATAAACCAGTTAACGATCTCTACGGCGTATTCAGTAACGTAAACACGTTACAATATTATAGAACAGTTCAACAAGTGGTTGTCTCTTCATATAATGGCATCCCACGCCTGTATTGTATATTATAAAATAAATTTACTTGTCACAAAATGTAAAAGTTTTGACATCAGTATTAAAGACATTTTAGGTATCAGCAATATGATCTTCAAGGTCACAATGCACAAAAACCAGCTGTCTGAATTACTGAGGTTCCACTAAATTTCATATTCTTATCATTCCATCTATTTTTGTATCTCTCAGGCAGCAGGTTACCAAATAATGGAGATTAACAGTTCCCAACTTTGCTTACTAACTAGGTCCATCATTTTTAATCACTAGGAGACTGTATAATATGGACACATTGTACACATAGTATTTGGATAGTATTATAATGGATCTAAAATAGTGTGAGTGTGTGTGAACTGGATTTATTCTGCTAAGAATAGGAATAAGTGATAGCTCTTGTGAATATGGCAACGAACCACTGGGTTCCATAACATGCAGGGAATTTCTCAACTAACTGAACAAGAATTAATTTCTTTAGAAGGGCACTGTTTCATAGGGTTAGTTGGTTATATAACTACACTAGTGAAATATGCTTTCCCAGACTACAGTGTAAGCACTGAGATTGACTGAATTGGAAAGAGATTGCTGAAAATTAATATATATGTTGTAATAATTCTTTTAAGCTGACTATAATACAAATACATATATTAACAAAGTTTCAAATAAGATTTATTAATACAAAAAAACAAGGTGAATATTATGAAAATGCCTTACCACACGACAAGGCTGCAAATCAAGACAGTGAAGAAATGTGAAATTTATTAATGAAGAAGAGGTATAGAATTGTTTGAATTTTCACTCCATAAAAAGCATGATTTGAGGCAACATACATGAGATACAGAAGATAACTGCAAAGTGACTGCCCACAGAAAGCCATAGTTTGTTTTTCTTGACAATGCCTCACACAACAGTGAATATATATGTACTGACTTCTAAGCTACAAATTCAGCATCAATCATATTTAGTAATAATCTGCAAAACTGCACCAAATGTATGAATTTGGCAGTGAATAGCAGTGTCAAATGAGGGATTAGATAAAATATATTTCTATGACTAGTTAAAAATAACATGCTGCCAACTTCACTGAGAAAAAAACAAAAAAGGCCATTTTTAGCATAACAGAATGAAAGTTTTCAGTCTCTTTAAAAAAGTGCACCTCAAATGGCAAATAATACAACTGAAATAATATTGCATTCAGATGACACTGAATTTTGTCCAACATAAATATATTGTGGCATATTGGCTCTATGCAGAAACTATTGAGCCACAGAGGCCTCGGGGTATGCGCGCAATGTGAGAGTTGCAGATTGCATCGGCGCGTTGCTAGGCGACAACTATGTGAACGCTTGGATGGCGCAACAGGAAGTGCAAGTGACGTCATATACTCCCACTCATCCCATTGCTGCACGACATTCAGTAAACACACCTAACAACAATACCTGATATCTGTTGCCAAGCAGCAGTGTGCTCTCTATGGAGTCTGTTGTTGGGCAATAGGCTGATTTCTGTGTGGTCGACCCGGAAGCTACATAACATGAGTATTCAGTATTCAGTATGAGTTGAAGTCTAGCAGTTGAGAGTGGCAGAAGCAAGTGAAGTGGATCAAGGAATACAGAAGATTGCCTGTGAGGATGTCAAGTTTGATTTAGAAGACTTCATGTGTGCTTGCAACAGTGGATTATGAGGTGTATGTAAATCATTGATAGCGCTGTAATTTCAGTGTAACTGAGAGATTGCGTGTAACCAAGCTGTTAATAAATCCAATCATCTGAACTAGAACCCGTCATTTCATCATGCATACCCTCCTACATGTGACATATTTGGTGTCAGAAGTTGCACTGTTGCATGCCACAATATTATGTTATCAAATCTATAATGTAACAGGAAGAGGAGAATCAATACTGTCTTATTTACCTGGCAAAGACAAAATGTAATTCTTCTGTTATACATACGATCACTAATTTTCATGCTGACTGAATACGAACAATGAAACCACAGCATTATGCTTTATATTAATGTTCTTGCTAAAACAGAAAGTTGTGGTAAACTGAGCATTTAGACGGCAATCTCAACTACAAATCTTTAACTTCACTCTGTTCTTTGCATGGATGATGATATATAGTAAATAAAACATCAAAGTCTCAAAAATGAAAGACGGTCAGCTGAATCCATTTAATCATATCACGCATATCATCAAGCATTTTCACAACTGTATACCCAGACTGGGACTATTTAGTTTGGTGCATGGAAGTTGAAGAGCATCTTGAGGTCATCCAAAGAAAGTTTGTTTGCTCTGTGATGCTTTGTACCTGTTAACACACTGGAGGCCAAAGCCATTTTGTTTGTCTGCAGTTTTTTAATTTGTTGCTCAATCGTATCTTCAGAGATGAACCTGTACAAGAAAATAATAATAGGTGTAACATTTTTAAAGAAATTAAGAAATAAGTATACAGAATTATATTCATAAAGTGAACCAAATGTTGACATTCACAATTGATTCAGTAATATACATTATACCAGGGGGCACGCGGTAGCATAGTTGGTTGAGGTACTTTTCTACAAGCTAGAAAGTCGTGGGTGTCCCGATGAAGTGGATTTTTATAAATTTACCTAATCCTTCCAGCCACACTATGGCCTTGGGGTCAACTGAGCCTCTACCTCTAACAGAAATGAGTACCAGGAATCATCCTGGGGCACAAGGGGGAGCAATGGCTCTGATCAGTAAAGCCTGTTTTGAGGAGCTGACATTTCACGTTTTGGCCCCTAGTTGGCATACCATTATTTTCAACTGTCTAAAACCTCTCCTGGGAGCTCCTCTGCCATCATGCTAAATTTGGTCCAAACAGGTGCAAGAGTGTGGAACTGTACAAAGAACAAATGGACAGACACACATTCTTCTTCATAATCATAAGAAATAGGTCTATTATCAACATGGTAATAGCATAAATCTTCCACATTACTTCTGACAAATTTAAAATAGTCAAAATGTATAATTAAGTGATCAGTTCTTCCCATAGATGATACTTTATATGCATTATATTTACAAGTGCAAGCAATGTACATGACAATATATATTCTGTTAGCAGTACGATATTCTGTAACATCAGCCTCACATATAAAACTGAACTTTAGCAACTGATAAAGACTGGAAATGATAATACATCATTCTCTTTAAGCTTCATGGCTTTGATGTTTCATACTAATGTTTTCTTCCTGCTATAAATATACATACTGGTGAACAGTATAGACTTTGACAATGCCAGCATATATTATTTAATTTAATTTTTATTTGGCAAGTTTATATTCATAAGTCTGTGATCCTTGTTTTGAGAAAAGTACAGAAAAACGTGCTGGACAATGGAAGGCACCATTACATCACGGTATATACCACTGTACAAATAATTCTCAAGCTCCCCATATTCATATCCACCTCAAACATTCATTTAATCACAGTCTGCTGAAGATGGAAACCAAAATGCCCAAATCAAACCCATACTGTGTGTTATGGAGAACAGAAATTTTGTACAAAATTAAAACTGAGTTTTAAAATATGACATCACCTACATAACCAATGAATCATCAGAGGATGGAAGAGCTTTCCAGAATTGAGGAAATTCTCCAGATCATTAGAAAAGCCTGGAATGACCAATGTATTATAAAGGAAATTATTACAATGGAGTTGTGGGAATTCCTTCCTTTAGGAATGACAGTTATAATGTCTTAAGGCACTGGAAATAGCTTCATTAAAATACTTCTCTGTACCCACATGGAAGGTGCATTCACGCCCACTTCCAGCCCTGTCATCCACTTTAATTTAAGTAAATGATAACACACTTTAATAGTAAACTTTTCACATTACTTGTATATGTGAACAGATTTTCTCTGTCCGACACGATATATTCTGTCAAATGCCTGAGCTTCCAGCTGTGGATTCCAGTGGGGGTCAAGTAGAAACAGATGATTCCCTCCAATGAGATTCAGACCAACACCTCCAGCAGTCAGAGAGAGCAGCATAATCTGCAGGGAGATATACAGTAATATATTTCTGATGGTATCTAAAGGAACAGTATGCAAGCATCTGAACTTTCAAACTGTGATCTCTTGGTTATGAAGTGCATCTTCCAACACAACAGTGATATTAACCTTTATCATCTGGGAACAGGGAATTTTAGATGTCCCAGCACTAGGAGGGCTAACAGAAAACCGCAATGCTCAACCAGTGAGACCACAGACATGTGTCACCACAATAATGCAATGCATGACTGACAAAGGTCAACACTTTCTGTCAGAATCTACACAGAATTCAATGTAGCAGTATAACTTGATCATTATGTGATGGCACAAAACCTGCTTGAAGAAGGGGAAGTGAAAGGAAAACAGGACAGTGGGGTAAGTAAGCCTGTTATGAGCCACTCCAATGAAGAAATTAGCTGTCAGCAGCAAACTGAACTGTCTACATTTCATATCTGCTGTAAGAGAACGTGGACTCATCTGCTCAACTCATACATGAAAACTGACTTATGTGCATGTGTCATCACATTGTAATCAAGCTATAACAGATGAACCACTGTATATCAAACTTGGAGTTGTGACACATCATAAATATATCCACAAACAAGTATCAAACTATTTTGTTTGTTATGAATTACAAACATTGGATAAACACAGAACCTTATGGGTTTGTGTCTGATAACTGTCAGGTAGTCAACATTTTGCACAAAGACAGACTACAAAGCTGTATATGGGCGCTGTGTGCTGAAAGATGCAGCCCAATATACACATCTCGCAATGAAGTAGGGGTGGGGTAGTGAAGTGTGATGTTATCCTGTGGAAAGGGACCCCATGGTTAACCACTGGGTTTCACTCCCCACTCCTTACTCTCACAGTGAAAATTATATATTGAGCCATGGCTCCTTCTCATTGGATGACATTATCCTCCACATGCCCCACCCTACTTTCACTTTGACACCTATGCGTTGGGACCCATCATCCTCCTCCCTCATTCATTCAGGGACTGTAAGGTACACCAAAATTTTGGAAAAACTTCAACCCATGACATGGCTAAACTGTGAAAGCCGAAATAAGATTACAGACCACAGGAATGTAACGATGAAAATACCATACCAGAGACTTTTAATAACTTTAGTCCCTGTAATTTTGTGCCAGTGAACAGCAAGAACCCTTAATAACTTCATAGACTTTATACTGACACACTGTTCTATAATAAATACATAACACAAGACACAGCAGTTCAAATAATGGGTTAAACCACGCTGTCTCGGTGACAATGTATGCACTCCTCTATTAATGAAGTACTTACAAAAATTATATTTAAAGAAATTTTACACTGATAACTTTCACCAATTCAGATTGATGTTAAAGAGACTATGGGGCACAAACCACAGTTACTGAATGAGCTAACATGTATATTTCACCACTCCATAACCAATATATCCAGTATCAAAATAGCAGCGCTCACCATGGGTCTCTTCAATGAACTGTTGAACTGATCCACCAAGGCCATGCGCTCTTTGACTGGTACAGATCCTGTAAGCACCAGGCATTTGACATTATTTGTCTTCAGGTGTTGATGCACCAATTCCAGCACTGAAGTAAACTGGGACACAATTACAGCATTGTCACCTTTGTTCATAACCTTTTCTTCAAGCTCAATGAATAAGGCACGCATCTGGTAGGAAAGAAGAAACATTCTGTGAACAACAGATGGCATATATATGGAATCCAGCTTTGTAGTATTAAACTGTAGTCACCTCTTGCAAATGTGCGCGAAAAAGTAAAACTTCAACATGCAAGATTACAGAAATAAATTCATAGTAAATTCAGAGATTCATAGAATATATACCAGAGAGCAAAAAAATCTCCATCAGCCTCTTGTAAATTTGAGTAAATACCAAAATGGAGTTTATTGTGTAGGAACAAAGGTCTATAATAATCTACAACATATTAAGGATATATCGAGTGACACTAACAATTTTTACATTTACATTTTTTTATTCTTTACAGGAATATTTGTTATAGATCTTTTTAAGATGCAAGTAGCTGTCTTGCTTTACAATTAAAAGAAGACTAGATTGTCAGTCTGTGTTCTGGTTTTTAGTTGCTTATTTTAGATATACACAATCTTTATATCACTGTATACTAGTTTATATTTCAATTTATTATACTATTAATGCATGTTATACAAAACTCATTAATGACATTGTGTTTTAACTATTGGATTTTTAATTAATAGAGTTGTATAAAACTGTACAAATTGTATAAGGTTTGCCATTACTTTTACTACTAAAATTAACTTATTTATTATATTTTATACGTTTATCAGTATTTTATTACATATGTGTATGCTATTGGATGACAACTGCAATTCTTAGTTGTCACTAACTAGGACGATCTCACATCCGCATGAGAATGTATTATCTACAGGATTTATGGAAGGTGAATGAAATGAAATGAAATTGGCATTGTCATATAAAAACACAATCTTAATTGTGGAATTTTACCTGAATGGATAAGATAATAATTGCAATACCTAAGTAAAGTAGCAGGGGTGTCAAGCTGACCACTCACCTCCACCTAATACTGATGTCAAGAAAGGCTACACTATACCTTCACTTCCCACATTTTCACGGTATAGTGCTCAACTAATTAAGCACAGGGACAACTTTATATCATTTCATAAGTCCAAATATTTAAACATTTAGTAGTTACTAAACTTGAAATCAGGTATCTGTGCTAATATTATCTACCTAATAACTAGGAATGTATCTGAATGACTTCTTAGTTCAAGACTAGAATTTGAAAGACAACTTTGAGAATAAAAACTATAATGAGAATATTCTCTAATAGACCAAATTTACACTGTAATAATTGCAAACATTAGTCATTTTTCCAGTTGAAGTTACTTTTAATTATGTCTGTTGCATAAAGTCTACTTACAGATGTATCTTGTATGTACAATGCTGAGCAAATATACTGTCATGTGATAGGAGTGTGACTATAGCCAGATTTTGGATTGATAACTCAATTTATTGCACTCTTTGATACAGTGTGTGACTACACTTTACAATTCACTATTACACACACACACACACACTAGAGTCCACAGTCACGTCTTCACTGCCGTTGCTTGGTAGTGGCTTCCAATGGTGGACATTCCCCTTCTTCTGGGTTCCCAAACACTTTACAGCCATAGCTACCAGTTTCTAGGAGCAAAAGCTAAAAATGACTGGACCCCAGTGGTTCTCTGACTGCAACTGCTAACTGGTCCTGGTTGTAACATCTTGGCAAAGACTGCATGGAAAACGTCTCTTCCATTATTGCTGTGTTCTCTTGTTGCCATGGAAACATGACTGTTTGCAAAGCTGATGCTTAGCAATCATTGTTGCATAGTTGCATGTTTCATGATTGTTGCCTAGCAATGGGTCTACATGCCAAAATATTGTCACGTGTTGGGTGTATAACGCGACAAATAATTTCACGCCTTACTGGATACAGCGAATTTTATTTTACACTCGCTCTTACAATCACACAATATACAAGCTCAACATTACTGCCATCGGCAGTATCACAAATACTCCGATGAAAGATAGACAGCTATTGACTGGTTAACTGACTCACTGCTGGCTAACTTGTAACTCGTAACTCGTAACTGCTGCCTTGAGAACACACTTCGGCGGCTGATACACTTTAACTGTCTTCGCAGGCAGTGTAGGTCTCTTATAAACCCTCAGCTGGACAACGGGAAAACGGTTATGTAATAGGGACCACTGGTGTCTGATGCTGTGTTTGCCTGTTACGTAATGGGTACCACTGTTATTACCGTCATCTCTAGCAACCACTGTTTACCGGCTTTGCTTAGCAACCGGTGTTTACTCGCTTTGCATAGCGACCAGCATGCTGGGACTCGGCTCACTTTGGCTCCGCTCGGCATGTCACGGGTGGCGGGGAGGGAGGGGCGTCATCCATAGCGCAACATGTCACAATATATAAAAGATATTTTATGACCACTTCAAATACTAAAGTAAGTAAATCATTGAATATCGTATGTAGCTATTTAATTGCTCATATTGAGACATCCCACCAGCTGAAATGATACATACCCATCTCTCTGTATCAAAATTATACACTGAATTATGGAGGAACTGCGACAATTACCAAAGTTCTTGAGTAATTTTATTATTTTCGCTTAAACTTATCTTACACTTGCAGGAAACAAAAAAGCAAGAGGAAAACAATACAAGTACCCTTTATTTCATACCTGTTTTACACACTTACTTTAGAACTGAGTCTGTCCTTCTTGAAAACAGGGTTACTGTGCACTAGAACTTTTCTTTTAACTAATCCATCAGCATCCACTGATTCTTTTTCTTTCCTATCATCAAGGCCCATGTTGCTAAGCTGTGAAAGAAGGTCAACATCTAGTCCAGTTTCATCTTCTATTCCATCGTTTTCACAACTTTCTTTGTCTAGCATCTGCAATAAAATCAATTAAGTACTTTAATAAACTATGATGGCTTATAGAAAAATGAACTTCCTTACCCAAGCGCCCACTTCAGTTAATCAATGCACCTGATAGCTATTCATTAACACTATCACTGTCAGCAACTTTGGTGCTGGCTTACAACCCACATCACTTATTTTAAAAGTACACTAGTATTTTGTACTATTTTATGGTAAAGAAATGAATAATAAACATTTAAATATGTGCAAAGGATTACAAAAGGCAGCTACATACACCCTCTAGCAACAGAGGAAAAGATTATGTTCTCAAAGTGTGTTGTGATAAAGAAATATTTTGTCATCATTGTGAGTTATTACTGGCCCTAGGTTGGATATGGTAATGTGGAAAAAATCCTAGTAAGTGGCCAAACTTGGCTATAGGAGCAAATGCGTTCAAAAGTCATTATTTGCCAACAATGTCAATAAAAATTTATACTTTCCAACTTACAGGCAAACCTTGATAGGTGAGAGTAGTCTTTGGAAGATTCTTTAGAGCACATTATTCTGAAGTGCAATTCTTTTAATTCCTTTCTCAGCTGCTTCCATAACATGACTAATGAAGTTCAATCATGCTATGACTTGTACGTATTCATTTAAGTTTATTGCTATCCCGTATTGTTACTTTATGAAGCGACTGAAAAAAAAGCTTGTTGTAATGTGTAATTCTTAGCACTTCTGTGTTCTAGACGTGAGTTTTGAGATTAAAATTACTACCAGGATACTGGTTAGTGTGAGGATTTATCATGGGTGTTTACATACCCTCCAGGCATATCCCAGGACAGTAACCCAAAATTTACCAATTCATTATTCAAGATCATCCTTTTGATCTTATTCAAGTTACCTACAATTTAGGTCTGTCTGAGAAACCTGATATACCTCAGCATCCTGGGCTTGCACTCATTTTCTGATAATACTTATCCTTTCTTTCCTAACAAACTGGAGTTTTCATTTCCTGATTTGTCCCTTTGATCAGAAGATACAAGTTCACTGCTGTGTGACTACAATAAAATTGTACTAATGAAGTTTCATTACTGGTACAAATCTACTCACACTCTCAATAAGTCCTGGATGACAGCATATTTGCCGTAACCTGAGAAGCAGAACCAATATATGAAATGTCTTTATGTCACCCATGCTGTTCATTTTTTGGTGCATAGCTTTCAGTTCGTCATTCATCTCATATGGGAACGATTTCTCTACAAACAAAACTTGAGTCACTCAGGTGGCCAAACATGTAGACATTATAGAGAAACATATTTACAGTTTCACATCAAAATCACAATTTTTCATGAATTTATTTTTACACAGTTGGAAGGGTAATATTATGAACATTACAATTTCGGTAGCCTTCACACAGTTCATGTGGAGTCAAAACTCTCCAATATGGACCAAAATTCAGTATTACCAACATTTTTTGTAAAGGTCTCCAATATTGTCAAAAGCAGTCAGATAAACTGTCCACTTTCCATGCATACACACAGATGCAACAATGTTCAGAAAAATACACTTTGTGAAATGGGCCTCAACACACATCTAATGTGGATATGTAACATTCATGCAATGTCATTAAAAGTGGGATTACAGCAATGTTTACCAGATTTAAGCAGCCCATCATATTTTCAGGTCCATGGCATTTAATTGGACTACAGAAATGCTGTGCATGTATCTACAAAAAGAAACACTTCTTTATTCACCTTTTAACAATTTATATTAATCTAACAGAGAATATTCATAAAGGCATCTATGACACTGATATCATATTTCCTTAATACGGTAAACTCTCGATTATCTGGGATAATGGTGGACATGGAAATCACGATTAATTGAAAACCCTGTTAAGACAATTGTTATTAAAAGTAGTACTGTAATACTGTACCTTCATAATACTATAGGCCTACCTGTATTTAAATTTTCTCAACCTCATTTTTATGTCATCTCATGGCCTATTTAATACTTTTTTTACATTATACTGAAGTATGAATTAGTTATTTCAATCACAGTGTTCAATAATATCCAACACTTTTTATGAATATTGACACTTAACACTTGAAAAAATTAGTACTGTCGTTTGCTTTTTCATGGCATTTTCCTTTTTATGGATATCCGTATGAAGCCTACATAATATTAGCTTGTCACTTAATAAACTGTTCTCTTCACTCTCAAGATAGTCTAGTAAGGATTCCAAATGATTAAGAGCAGCACCATGTGATATTTTCTTACTAGCAGCACTGTCCACCTCTTCCTCATTCTCACTTTCTTCCCGCTCTTCTGGCTGCACCCCCACTGAACTTAGGTTTTGTCACTGCTTAACATTTCGAAGCCCAGCTCACACGAGTTTCTGTTGAATACTTAACACAACACGCTTCATTTTAAACCCTGACATTTTGCTAACGCACTTGAAGATCAATACAAAGAGACCAACTGGGGTGGTGTATCTGTCCTTGAAACTTTCCACAAATCCTTGCATTCTTTCACCCCTACCCTAGAACATTCTGTTAGCATAATGGGACCAAAGAATGCAGAGCTCGGTTCACACTAGTGTGAAAATAGTGTTACAACTCACCATGTGAAACAAAAGTGAATGAATATTAATAAACATATAAGCCTCAAAAAAGCCTCAGTAGCCCCGGTTAAGCCGCAAACCGGTTAATCGAGAGTTGACTGTTTATCAAAATTTGGAACCACGGAACATTTACTATTTAGTTTCATTTCATTTTGTGTAACATCACTCTATTTTGGTGAAACTGTATGTTTTCTTCACGTTTCTTTACATAAAAAGGTAAAGCTATCCCTGTAACAGGCCGTGCAGGCCCATAGGGTTGGGAGATGGTCAAGGCTCCCACATCTTTTACACAACTGGCTCACAGATGGTGGTAAGGTTGTCATATTAATGAAAATTCTTCCTTTTGTACTACACAGAAGTCCTCTGTCAGTACAAGGTTTACAGAGCAGATCATGCCTATCTTACATATATTACACTACAATGGGAGACTAATCATCTCAATGGTCGTAAGCTTGACCACCGCTAAGTTTAAGACTTATATTTACAACAATTATCATATCTGGTATGCAATCTGTTAACACAGCCAGAAATCAGAAAGAAGACAAGTATGATGAACTCCCACCTTCCAAAATGTCAGCTGACTGTTCAATAATAAGCTTTTGAACTTTCAGGTAAAATGGTCAGCAACTGCGCAAGTATCAATGCCAGGATGCAGACAAAGATGTAAATAAGGGTTCTCTGACATAAATAAACCCTGATGTGGCAAGAGAAATCAACATTAAAAGATTCAATATCTCATCAAATTTTCTCTGCTTTAGTCATTATGAAAGTCCATAGGGAAGACCAAGGCGTAGGTGGGTGGACAATATTAGAATGAATCCTAGAGAGATAGGATGGTTGGGATGGTATGGATTGGATAGATCTGGCTCTTGTGAACACAGTGATGAACCTTCAGGTTCCATAAAATGCTGAGAAATTGAGTAGCTGCAGAATTGGCAGCTTCTCCAGAAGGGCTCATCAGCTCCATGAGTAAGTAAGTAAGAAGGTAAGTAAGTCATTATGATTATTCCATAAATTACGAAATGTTGTGACGTATCTTCAAAATATTATGTAACCTAACAAAAGGCTACTGCACATGTATATACGTCTTTGTGTTCTCATTCTGGCAAGTGCCACTACCTACCTCAACTGACTCGTTTATAGTAAATTTAGATAAAAACTTCTCTTAGGTCACATCATTTTATATATATATATCTCACCATTTTGCATATATATGGGGTTACACGACTGACCAAATTTCATTTCCACCATCTGTTCCTTTTCTATTTTCTGTGCCAAGAACTGGGCAAACAAAGTCCTGAAATTAAGAAACCATACATAAATTACTACATACTGTAATATTACAGAACCATGATACAAAATTAAATGCTGATAATTTCTTCCACCTGGCCTCTTATATACTGCTATTTCATATAAGTTAAAATTAGGAATGAATTCCATCAAGTGCAATAATGTTTTTTAATAATCAACTAGAGCCTTTACATGTTTCGGCCAATGACTGTCATCATCAGTAGGCAACCAACACTTCATAGGAAATGTTTCACACGTATTCCGTGTATGCGTTGTCTCAACCCCAGCACTTAAAATATGTTTTGTTAAAGAAATGGAATTTTTAAGTTGAATAGGATCTTGCTGCAAATTGCAGTGATGGTCATATTCTTTCACAACAGGTCATCAGTATTGTGTAGGTCCTGTGTGTGTCGGCTGGCCACCAGACCACCAAACTACTGTGGTAAACCAATTAATGACTAAACCATGGTAATCAAAGTTTTAAAACCTTTAAAAACTTCTTTATTTTTTGTATAACAAATAATTCTGAAAACAACTTTATCAAAGCACTATTTGTTTCCATAGAGTTGGTTATTTTATGAAAAGAATACGTGAAAACAGAGTGCCTAGAAAATTCAATGTGAATCACTAAACATACGGAGTAAAAAGCAGTTACATAACCAGTCTGCACTGTAACAGTGCAGGGCAACTAACTTCATAAAATTATGAGTGTATAGTTACCTAGATAAGTTTAGAACTGTTTGGTAGACTTCAAACTCTTCTTTGTCAAGTTTTACAGTGAGCTCATATATTTGCTTTTCTGGCAGGCAAGAAAGCGCTCCCTTGCTTTGAAGTTGCTCTTTTGTTCTACGCAGCATCAAAGAATTCATCACAGTATTTAATCGCTGCATTCCTCCAGCACTTTTATTATCGACCCATCGACGCCACACCTATGAAATTAAATTGAGTTCAATATTGAAGTTCATGAGAAGATAATTAATGAGCAAGATAACTGAAAAGTACTATATTACAGAGGAATGTAACAGTTCAACTGGTTAAATAATGTACACTAGACTATCTACAAAGCCAACTAATATATATATAAAATATGGGCAGAAGGTATAAAGATAAAGTTGTCCCTGTACTTAGCTAATTAAGCATTATGCCACAAAGGTGTATGGGGGAGTGAATGTATAGCTCCCTATTTTCTTGAACTAGGCACTGGTTGGAGGTGAGTTGTCAGCTTCACACCCCAGTCACTTTACCCCTAGGGAAAGAGACCCCAGTACACACTGTATAGGAAGCTGGGTAGGCCACAGAACCAGTCTGGACAATGTGGAGAAGAGAAAATTCTTGACCCTACCGACTCGAAATCTGACCTCTCTGCAGTCGAGCCCGTAGCCAGTCTATATCGACTGTGCTACCCCAGCTCCTGGGCAGAAGGTATAATTAAAAATAACATGCTCTTAAGATCATAAATAAATAAATAAACCATAAGTTTAGATATGAAATCCCAACTATTAAATGTTTCTTATAAGGAATATGTACATAACTTGTACCCTAAAATTAAGATAGATATTCATTCAATCATTTATAAGCATAATTAATTCAAAACATACCCTGTCCAATTATTAATACTGCTTACAATGAACCACAACTTTACATCAAATTTCTTAAAATAAAAATCCAGTATCAGCTGCATGGTTAATTTCTAGCCAATTCTGCTGTAAATAGATTCTAGAGTGTTCTGACAATGGTGCATGAGAATGATTGGGGTCAGCTCTTTCTAACAAACCCAAAAGAGCAGGTATCTCCCACCCTGTTAACTGAGGATTGAAACAAAGCCAGTTCCTGAAATGTTGTGTTCCTTAGTGTTCTTTAGAATACTGGATAATGGACAACATCCAAAGGCCCCATAATCCTGAAATTCTGATGTGACTACACAGACTACCCTTACTCTATTCACTAATGATACAGGACTATTAATAAGGCTCTGAACATAGACATAATGGCAGAATTCCAAGAAACAAGGACACACTCTAATGTTCCTTGTAACTATGATACAAGAAGGCTTCTGTTGGTTCTCCTCTTGCTGATCACTGATCTGATCTCCATCCTGGTCTTCTCCCATATCGACATCTTCCTGTTGAATCTGCTCGAACAGTCTTCACTGCTCCATATATAGGCTTGGCAAGGACCAGCCACAGAAAACACACCACAGTTCGGCAATGGATATTATGTATTGTTGTCGGGCGTGTCCACCCTTGAATTGCCTAGCAATGGATGCCCTATTGTTGTGCATTCATTGCTATGATGTGTGTTTGCCAGTCAGTTACCTAGCAATGCTGTGTCCACCCATGTTACAATATATTATCTTCAACAAACAGAGTACTCTGTCACTTTGAAAAAAATTACACGAATTTAGACACCAAATATTGTTACATTAGAATTAGTATAGATTACCTTTGATTAATGACAATAAGTACTCACATCTGTTTCCAATGTCTGTTTTTAATAACACATTACAATTTTCATCGCATGAAACGAGAAATGTAAAAGTTATGTCAATACAGAACTAAAGATGTCTTGCTTCATGTTTCTGCAATATCTACTCACAGTTAAATCATCAAAGGGTGTACATCTCAGGAATTTCAGCAATGAATATAAATCCAACTCCTTGTTATGAATTGGAGTCCCTGTGAGGGCCCATCGGAATTTGGATTTCAAGGCACAGACTGCAATGGAGGTCTTGCTTTTGTGGTTGCGAACTGTGTGGGCCTCATCCAAGATAATTCTTTCCCATTTAACACCAAACAAAGTGCCCTAAAAATATTGGATACATAAATCAAGACATGCAACATCCACAAAATTAAGTTATACAAAAATTTAATGGACTAGAAAATAATATAAAAAAAAAAAAAAAGATTTTTCAGCAGTGTGTTATCACTGTGGAGTGAAATCAAGTACTACCATGTCATTTTAAGATTATCAAATAAAAACTCTTGTCATCAGACTGTCATATTTAAAGAAAGCTGACTGGTAGATTCACACTCTGGAAAATTCTATTTTAGTAGAACCACCAACAATTAAATTGACATTAATATGCATCAAAAAAATCCCCTTATGAGGATCATTTTCAAGCAAAAATCAACAGAACACAGTAAAATACATTATAAATTACTACAAAGACAATTGCATAACACAATGTAAAGCAACAAAACGACATTTATGTGATGAAAGACTTACTTGCTTTGAACGGTCCACAGCACTACTGGATCCCTTCTGGCAGGAAATAACTCCTCCTTCTGATCTGACTATATTGTATGTTGTTACTACCATGTCACGTTTTGCAAGTCTTCAAAATTAGGCAACAAACAATTATTAGTTATCGCAGCTTTCTTTTGTATAAGATGTAAATACAGATATGCTATGAGAGATTTGAGATCTTCACAGTGGTGAAAATTTAGACTGTGGTCTTATGAGTTATGGCCAATCAGATCTATCGGACTGCATGGTGTCCTGAAGACCACAGCCTGCAGACATGCTCTGGGGCACATCAGTGGTAAGTGGTTTCTTTGGAAACAAACCATTAAGAAGGTTTCAGTTACAAGTCCAAGTAAAAGTAAAAAAGGTACAGGTTGCATTAACGAATTATTAAATATTTCATTATTCCTGAGATTATGTTATCAAATGACACATGTGGTACAATAATTATGAATAATGAATAGGGAACGATATGGGGGGAAATGGTCTAAATTATGGTATATACTGGCATTGACTTGGAAGGCTCATGAAAATCATGAAATAACCTCAGTCAGGATAGCTGGTTCCCAGCTGAAATTCAAACTACATACATTCCAAATGTTTTACTTCTGTAATCCTTATAATAATTTACATGAACAAGACAACTTGGAAAATTATGCTGCAGGTTTATAGCATGTCATGTAAATATATAACACAAAAGGAGTGCAACAGAAAGATGTATACATCACAGAATGGTAAAATTAATAACAATTTTATTGAACATATGCCAAATATATCAGTATTTTAATGCAGAATTTGAAGTTTTCACAGTAGTGGTTATTAAAAGATCTATCTTCTTGAACATTATGTCATGTAGTCAACTGATATTTCAGAGGAACATGTCACTGCCATCTTCAATCCAGACTAGCTCTGTGGTCCACCCAGTCTCCTAAACAACAAGTAGAAGCATGAAGATGACTATTTGCCTCCACCTAGTACCATACCTCCACAACCCCATACGTCTCCATGGTTGTGACACTTAATTACTTAAGCCCAGGAATAACTTTAGTTTACCTTCTACCTGTTCTCAACTCTACAGCACATAACAAAGAAGAGGTACTAGAAATAGGGAATGCTCACCGATGAGGTTTTGATTCTCGAGATGTACCATGGTAGATCTCTAAGTTTATTACACCTTGTTTAACTCGTTTATTTACTTCTCCTTCCCACTGATTAAGAAGACTTGCTGGGCAAATGACTAATGTTCCTCCTTTTTCACCTGTTGAGAAATATAAGACACAACAAATGAATTCAAGATACATATATTAAACTCTTATTTACTTATGGAGCTAAGCCCTTCTTGAGGAGAAGCCAAATCTGCAGCTACTCAAGAATTTCCCAGAATTTTACGGAACCTGAAGGTTCATTACTGTGTTCACAGGAGCCCTCCACTGGTCCCTATCCTGAGCCAGATTAATCCAATCCATACCATCCTATCTCTAAGATCCATTTTAATATTGTCCACCCACCTATGCCTTGGTTTTCCCAGTGGTCTCTTCCCTTCTGGTTTTCCCACCAATATCCTATATGCATTCCTCTTCTCCCCATTTGTGCTACATGCCCTGCACACCTCATCCTCCTTGACTTGATCATTCTAATTATACTTGGAGAAGAGTACAAATTATGATGCTCCTAATTATGCAGTTTTCTCCAGCCTCCTGTCACTTCATCCTTCTTCGGTCCAAATATTCTCAACACCCTCAGTCTATGTTCCTCCCTTAATGTAAGAGACCAAGTTTCACACCCATACAGAACCACAGGCAAAAGTATAGTTTTCTATATTCAAATTTTTATGACACAAAAGTCTGAATGGGTGGTTTATAGGTACGTGAATCTTGGTTTCTCAATCTAATGGAAGAACTGAGAACAAAGGTACCTGATAATACCGAGGAGGATATTAGAAGCTAACAGAGCTAATTAAAAGGAAATGTAGAAGGATATACTGTCATGTGGTAAGTGACTAGACATGGGTTTTGGATTGGTAACTGGATTTACTGAACTCTTGAAACTCACAACTACAATTAATTATAGCACAACTGCCAATTCACACATTATACAGTGCACAACAGTGTGCATTAAAGTCTTCTCACTCTGCTCTGTCTTCACCACCCAATGTCATAGTTTCCTTAGCTTCCATGTTCCACGGCTCCAGTTCTCACTAGCTGGTGCATATCTCACAACTAACTAGGCGTTGCCTGATTACAGTCTTCTAACAAGGTCTATTCTTCATGCCCTTATGGCTCATGAACTTCACTTCCTAACTGCTGACTCAAGACTGTACTGCTCTGCCCATGGCCTCCTTTCCCAGACTGGACTTGCAGGGCCCAAGTTATTTGGACTTGTGAAATGCGAAATAATCACTGACATTTTAAATGCCCATGAAAAACAAAGGCACAATTTTTTCATATTCAAAAACTTAATAAGAAGAGTAAAATTCAGGCTTAATATCAGAATTACTGGTACATGAGAAAATTTCAACTGTAGTCTTTGAAACAGCTTAACAAATGGCTGTTAAATAATGCCTGGGATAATGTATATCACCAAAAATAACAAAAATTAGATTAATTCTTGCAACTTAAGGATCCCACACCAGTGACTATTAAGAGTACTGTCTTATGAGATGTAATGTTGTGTACTCTGGTAGAAGTCCACTGACATTCCTCAGAAACATCAGTGGATTTCTACTGGAGTACCAAATTAAGTCTTATCATGAAAGCCATAATTTAATATTACACAAGTCAGTAGAATGGCTTATAACATTTACATCATCTTAACATACCCCAAAATTGTTCACTAATATCTCAAGACTTTTAGAATACACAGAAGTCATTACACATCATAATATACTTCCAATTGGTCTTTACAAAGTAAGCAATCAAGTCACTCAATATGTGTGTTCACTATATANGCTTGCGTTGTCACACTTGCTTGAATGTGGGCAGTTCCCACAGAAGCATTAAAAATGCAACAGATACAAAATTATTATAATAAAGCACTCCACTGTGTAAAAAACCAAAAGAACAGAAGTTATTTCAGTGAGACAGTAATACTTACACTTCCTTCTCTTTAAAAGCCAAGAGCTTTCACTTCCATCACTTTCTTCACTATCTGCATCTTCCTCAACAATAACTTTATTCTCCCTTTCTTCTTTGGTCTTGAGAAGTAAAGAAATCATCGTAAGGGTTTTCCCCAATCCCATATCATCAGCTGAAAATAAAAATATGAACATAATTATACTGTAAAACTATACAGAACATTAAAATTTGAATTCATTCGTCATAAATCTTTGAGTTCTGAATAAGACACTCAGGAGATATAAAACCAAATTAGAAAGTCGTGTAAAACTGGTTTCACCCACCAGACTAAAGAATTCTATGAGACGGGCTTCCTGCAGTTGGTAACTCAATGGGATTGAAGTATCAATGCTTATGATGATTTTGTCACTGGGCCAATAAATCTCCAGTAATGCCCTTGAGAACAGGTTACAACTCAACCTTTCTTCTTCTATCATAAAGTAATAAACACTGTGAGCCATGCAGAGGCTCCAGTATGACATCATGGGCTTCCAGCCCCTTGATTGAGGTTCTTAGACTTATCCCCCACCCCATCCCCATGCGGGACTGGGTCACGTGGTGTTGCCCTCTCCCCTCCTTTCTACCCCTGGGAGCCTTGCTTGGAAGTCAATTCGAGTTTGGAGGACAGTTCTGGTTATGGATCCATAGGGCCTTGCTCGCGGCGCCGAGCCAGCCGGAGTGATTGTCAAATTCCTGTTCGGCTGGGAGTCCAAATTTGGTTTCGGCAAGTAGAGGGCTGGTTCGCGGCCGGCGAGATTGCCCATGGTCGCCCGTCGTTGGGTTTGTAGTATGGCGGCGCCTCGTACCAGTTTAGTTAAACCTGTTTTTATAATTTATATTGTGTATTTGATTTAGACTCAGCCTCTGCCCAGGCTAGGAAGTGGTAGTTATGTTTTCATGCACCCAAGGCAAATTGTTGCGCCAGTAAATGTGCAATTAGTTGAGTTGTTCTGTTTAATTTCTTGGGCTCGTGCACTGTAATGACGATGAATTCTTGTCTTTGTTTATGTGTTAGTTGTGTTTATTAAATTCTGTTATTTGTTAATATATTGATTGCCATCATTTGTAACTAGATTTACCAAGCTGCTAGCTTGGATCCCTTACTCTAACTTAGGGAGCGTGCGAGCACAGCACAAGAGCCGTATGACGGAGCACCGTTTCCTCCTCTGATTGAGGAAGGGTAGACGGAGCCGAAAGGTGCCGGAGAGTGATGGTGCGGTGGTAGCAGACCGTAAGGCGGTACAAGTGGTACAAGTGATAGCAGAGCGGACAGACGGCACAACTGTGGGGACAATTCATATTTCATTCATACACTTTGATGGGCTGCACAAAAGGATGTTCATGGGAGTACATTCCTGTAGTACATCAAACGGCCTCTTCATGCTTACTTTGTTTCATCATATTAGACATCATTCCAGGCACCATAATGAGACATGGCAACACCCAATGTCAAGAAACTATTTCTGCTTGTGCTGCGACAGGATTACAGGTACAGTGAAATCCCCATTTACGGTTTCTCTGGGGATCAGTGACCTGGAACACTAAACTGGGGAAACACTTAAAGCGAGGAAAATTAACATCGAGATTACTGATTTGGAATGACTGAAATTAACGTCAAATGGAGGAAGACATTAAATTGAGAAATATTAAACGGGGTTCCACTGTACTTACAAAGTATGAAAAATCTTCAACAAAACACTGATATTCCAAAAAGTTCTTGGCACAAGGAGTTATAATTACTGAACTACCTTTGTCTTCAGCTTCTAAATATCAGATTTGGTGCTTTTCAAAACGCTTTTGGCAACTAATAACATGACCGATTATAGGCATACATTCACACTCAAATTATGGTATAAATTACAATAAACAAAAAACTTACCAAGAATTCCACCGTAAGGTTTGTGACTTTCTCTCCATATGAGCCATGCCAATGCTTGTTTTTGGTGTGGCATTAATTCAACACTGGATCGTAGAGCTTTTGGGTCTTCAGCAATTACATCTTCTCCAGGACAAGACTTCAATGACCCATGGAGATGTTTTAATGTATCCACAGTCATTGCTTTTTCTGCCCTGTGGGCCTCTAGAGCTAGCAAGGCAATATTTACATTTGAATTATTCCTCTAAATCTAAAAAAAAACTTTTGTTAACGGTGAGTGAAAGCTCAAAAATTACACAGGTTCAGGTTACCATAGTGATAAACTGCAGCACATTACCACATATATGAACATAATAGATCGACAACATGTAAGCAATCTCTCATTTCAGTGTGTCATATCTATTCTGTGAGTACTCTTAACATTTTACATGGATGTTATTTATCAAGGGATGTAACTTAGTTTATGAATATTTGGAAAGTTTATTTCCATTACAAAACATGCACACAGAACATGTTCATAATGACTAGATCAGAAAAATCATATCAACAGCTCTAATGTGAAACCAGCAGGATAACAAAAGTGGACACTTCATAAGCTATGTATGTAACACAATGAAAATATACTGCAGCATGTACTTGTAGTTACTAGTTTATGTATACGTGTTCAATAAATCCAATCACCAATCCAAAACCCATCTACAATCACTCATATATGTGACAATACTCATGACTATTTGAATTCACATCTTCATGAACAGCATAAAATATACTTGAGTAAATTCTATCAGTAGGCCATGCCATAGCTCAAGCGGTTAGTCACTGGCTTCCCACCGCAGCAGCCCAGGTTCGAACCCTGGTCTGGTCAAGTGGGATTTGTGGTGGACAAAGTGGCCCTGGGGAAGGTTTTCTCTGAGTACTTCAGTTTCCCCTGCCAATCTTCATTCCACCAACTGCTCCACAGTCACCCTCATCCATCATCTGGGGCTGGTACAATAGGCCAGAAGTGGCCGCAGTACAAGGGACTTAGTCCCACCCCACTAGCATTAAAAAAAACTCTATCAGTATATGACTCCTGTTACTTTCAAGCATATTCAGCCAAAAATAATGATCATTGGCAATTTATATGTATGCATGATGCCCTTAGTACTCTACTTGGAATTAAAAGGAATGTATTAGACATAATTTGACACTTCACAGGAAAGTGCATCCTAACAAAAGGCCAACACAGAGTGGGGTCAACACTTACTTTAGTTTCTCCATCAATGCTGTTAAAAACTTCTTCACTGATATAATCGATTCAATTACATATGTAGGGGTCTTTCCTGACTTTTTTTAAATTCAGTTAGTGGGTGTGGAGTCAAACTGGGTCCACTTGGCACAGCAGCCACTGATTGGCTTACCGTATCTTCCCCGGGTGATTATGATGATGGAGAATTTGGTGGAATGAAGATTGGCAGGGGAAACTGAAGTACTTGGAGAAAACCCGTCCCAGCGCCACTTTGTCCACCACAAATTCCCACTTGACCAGACCCGGGATCGAACCCAGGCCGCCGCAGTGGGAAGCCAGTGAATAACCACTTGAGCTATGGCGCAGCCTTTCCTGACATTTTCTTAATTAGTGATGTACCGCCCATAAGTTGTTTTTTAAACTCAACCATGTTACAGCCCAAATATGAATGAATCAGAGTGCCCTTTATTACAAAAAAACATCTAAGATTTACTATTTCTTCTAAATAATTCCATCCTAAGTCGTACTTGTTATTTTATTATTACAGGAGATTTTCTGTGAATACACAGTTTCCTCAACCCAAAGACATGATTTGTTTCCTCTAGAGCTCTTGAGGTTTCTTCTTTGCATGCTGTCCCTAATCCAATCCTTCCATGTGTTAACTGGTCTGCCACACCACCTTTTTCCTTTTAGGTTCTATTCTGCAACCTGTCTAGCAACTGTACAGTACTCCATTTGCATGATGTGGCCATACCTTCTAATTCCTGTTGCACATGTATTGTTACTTATAATTATGAATGGCTTCCTCTAGAACAGATGGTATTCATGTCTTAATATTTTCAGTTTACCATTTATTCTAAATGAGCCATTCTCTAATGTAACATGTTCTACAATGCAAAGTGTTAAAAACCTCCTGAAATTAAGCTTATAATATACATCCACTCTCAGATGCAGTGACGTAAATATAGAACAAGTTTCTCATTATAAATATTTAGGGTCTATAGTTAATTCAGATAACACTATCGAAGAGATTAAAGAGAGGTTAGCAATTGGAAATAAAGCATATACTGCACATTTAATAGTGCTTAAAAGTAAACTTATTTCTAAAACAGCCAAACAAAGATTATACCAGATGGTAATTCGACCAACAGTAATCTATGCCTGCGAAACCTGGACACTCGAAGAAGCCATTAAACACAGACTTTTAGTCTTTGAAATGAAAATTCTAAGAAAGATCTTCGGGCCATCAAGAAACCTCGATGGCTCCTGGAGAATTAAAACAAATGATGAACTAGATAATCTAATAAAAGGAAGGAACAAAGTTAACTTCATCAAAGCACAGAGAATAAGTTGGCTTGGACACATCTCAACAATGGAGGCTGGACGAAGAGTTACAACAATATATGACTGGCAGCCACACACCACAAGAAAGAGAGGTCGACCTAAGATTAGATGGAAAGATGACGTATGGGAAGACCTAAAGGATTTAGGAATTTATAACTGGATGACTCGCACACAGGACAGAAGTAGTTGGAGGGAAATTGTTGAGCAGGCCTAAACCTTCAAGAAATGAAGCTGTTGAGCCTTATGAAGAAGATGAAGAATATATATCCACAGAGACACAGTTTAAAGGCTCCTTTAAGATTGTAGCTGACATGACAACTCTTCCAAGTTACAGCCTCCCACTACTTACAATTCTGAACATGCATGCACAAACACATAGTTTCATTTATACAGTAGAACTTGGTTATAACGTCATCAAAGGGACCTAAAAATAGTGTCGTTATAAACGAATGTCATTGTAACCGAAATGGGCACTTCCACAGCAGCCTTATGTTAGTCACGTAAAAATCTACCAAAAACCGAGTTAAAATGTTGCATTTTTTAGTGAAATACGTAGTTAAGTACAGACTAACGTAACATTAACGTGGAATTGCCCAAATGTGTAATATCAAAGACATATTACAGCGCTTTTCACTGACAATACACACAATATTTCACGAATCACTTTAACTTTCTCTTCAATGCTTAAAACTTTCCTTTTCATTGCCATGTTTTCGCTACTGCACTTCTCTGGGTTTAGGCAGGAACACTATAGGGTAAGTAGACAATGTGAGGTCCTGTTAGACGAGATTCTAGGAAAGGAATGCAGTTAACAACCTGCCGCTTCCTCTTGCACTATTCACGCAGTCCCACCCCACACCCTTGTTTTCGCATAAAACCCACACTGCTCTTGCAGCCCGTGGTCGTATTCTTCCAGGACAGTCAAGTCAGCAAGTAGAGAAAGTAAGGGTGGGCAGACACATCGAACTTTCCCATTATATCAGAGAAATTCAGGAATGAAAATGACGTTACATATGAGGTTGATGCATTTGTGCATGTCGTACTAAGCAAGGTATAAAAACAGTTGCTTTATGAGGAATTAGTTCGTACCATTGAATATTTGACGCAATAGACAAGGTGTCGCAGAAACCGATGTTGCTATAACCAAGTTTTACTGTATATATATATATATATATCACACTGAGTAGATAACTTCCACATGTTTCCAAATGAGGATGGAAACAGATCCAGTTTCCAAAACCTTGCATTCAGTTCAAAATACTAAGATGAATGACAAAGGCCAGAAACCCAGCAATACTGATTTAACTGTAACATACCGCTCTCATAACCCTTGAAAGTGGTTTATACTCATATATAGATGCTTGTCTACTTTGAATATCATACAGATCTTACCACCCACAGACACAGCCTCTAATATTAATGGACTCTTAAATTATAACATTAATTCTCCTCAAATTCTCTACTGGAGAGATACAACAACAAATCATGAATGCCTGTTTCGAATAATTCTTTTGAAACATCTAAATACTTGTATACTGCGGGTCAAGTGTGCATGGTTATATCATATAAATATCTCATGTTTCAACAATTCTGTGTAATGTTGGAAGTTAAAATAATTTTCTTTCACTGTAACTATGCTATCTACTTATAAGACTGAAATCCATAAAACTAATTACTTTTCTGATAACACTAACCTCTTTTTCCCATTCCATCTGTGGAAGGCATTGCACCCAAGTATGCTGTTTTTCTAGGCACCATGCCTGCTGCATCTGTAAAATAATGTCATGTTTTTGCGTAACACGTAGTTCAAAAAGTAAAATTATATGAGGACACCTTACCCAGCACTTAAAATATTTTGATGTGAATGTGTGTTTAAAGCATGACTCAACTCCGATTCAGGTTGCAGAATGACACAGGGATTCAAAAGAATATAAAAACACTGGAGAATGGAAATACCAATCAGAAAATGCTGCAGTACTTTCATATTAACTAGTGATCCATGTAACTTTAAAATATGCTGCCATGAAGTAAACCATGAGTACATAAATTTATTTCAATTAGAAAATCTGAACAAGGAAAACTACATTTCAATTTCCAACTGACACAATTGTTCTACAAACTGGAATTACGTGTAAAAGCATCCTTCTCACTGAGCAAACTTAACCATGCTCAGCAAATTAAGACGAGATAATGGCATATGGTATTCTGGTGTTTCTTGTCACAAAATCTGCTGGCTGTTGGATTTACAAGTTAGACTTGAGCTTATCTTTCACAGCAGTAACTTTTAACCCTTTGACGCGGTAATTTAAATTCCGCGGCTGCGTCTCCTGCGGTAATATATTCAGCCGGCCATTTAAATTTTGCTCGAAAATGATTTATTCATCATTGTTCTTAAATTCTATGAGATAGGAACATGAAACTTTCACTAAAATGATCTTAAATGGTGGTTTTATAACCTTACCTTATAATATGGGCGCNCAGATAAAGTCGTGTCTTATTTATACTCTGTTCTACTGACAACAGGCCAGCGAAAAATCTAACAATCTACAGCAAAACCATCAATTATTATGGGCGTTATAACATAGGTGTGCAGCTGAACGAAACATACACGTCGAACCCCCCCAGACGATTTAAATCCCTGACGAAACATACACGACGAACCACGGCAACGGGTTAAAGTTCCCTGAGTCAACAATTCTCTCTGCCATTGTTCACATTCACATTTATTCTGTGGTAAGTCATTTCATTTTCAGGTGAGATAATTGCTAAGGTGTGGACCAGAGAAAGAAATAATGATACTGTACAAAAACTGTTATTTCTGTTATAAAAAGTACATTACATTACACCTGGAATATTCTGACACCCTATGCAAATTCTACTTTAATGCTCACAATCTTTAACTTCTATTCCCTCAACTAATACACAAATCATAAGTGTATAATCAGGCACAGTACAATATATGGGACCATGTTCTTGGATAAAATGAGGAAAAGCATGAATTTTGTTAAAATCGTCAAAGAATCATGGAGTACTCATGGTGAGCTTGGTGAAAGGAGACAGATTTTTCATCCTTCCTTAGGAATATTTTCTATGACATGTCCATTTCAATCCTTTGTTCAGTCTCTGAAAAAAAAAAAGCTATATACACGTATATATTACATACCTTTCGGTAAGCTTTGCAGTGGTGTTTCATCCTTGATCTCAATAATGTCTGGTTTTCTTACATAGTCAACTGCATCTGTGAATATCATAAATCACAATTAACACCTTTATGCAAGTGACAAGTCAAGGGTTATCATAAACAAAATCTTATTTAATCACCCACACTTATCTGTGACTGCATCAAAATTTGAGGACTGCCACTGTGCTTTCAACTTCTTCAACCTGGTTTGCTTCTCAGTCAGAGCCATTTGAAGTCTCGTACCACGATCAGGCAAGTTTGCGAGATTTGTACTTCTTAATATCATCTAGAAAAATAATTGCATTTTATAACCCGACCTTGTCTATTAACCCCTCGAGCGTGACTTTTAGCGGAGCCATTTAAATCCCTAAGCGTGTGCGACGCACCGTCTGCGTCCACTCAAAGCCGTGCTGTAAGCGTGCGCGCCGCATATGTTGCGTCCAAACTTTTCACTAAGAATTCTTAACGCCTACGCTCTGATGTATGTACTTCCAGTGAATGTATATGTCAGCTAACACTGACTTCTTTCATTCCTCGCTATCTGTTTGTGTGTGGTATTTTTTTTACTCGCTTTGCTTGGGACAAAGCATCTGGTGTCTGCTGCTTATGAAAGAGTTGTTCCAACTCACACTTGCTTACAGAGAGATAATTTGTTAGCTAACTTTCATTGAGTGCTTGTTATCTATGTGTATTTTTTTATTACTGGCTTGGCTTACTGGCGACAAAGAAGCCGTGTCTGATTTACGATGTTACGAACCTAGGTGTCAAAGTTGGCTGACGCCTGTGTCAACATTTATGAATCTGTTATTCCTTTTCTGCTTCGCAACACCCTCTTATCGGAGCAACATGGCATTTGGTCACGTAACTTCTCTGGCGGGACAGTTTCTTGCCCCTGACGCTAATAAAATAGAGCTTTCAAAAGTGGGTTCCCACAACTTTGAATGAAATTAGGATATTCCTAGGTTTTCNAATTTGTAAATAAACCTATGTGTGTAATAGAGTATAATAAATATATGGTAGGAACTGAAAAACTTGAAAGATCAGCTACTAGAAACATTCTTGCTAGAAAGGAAAAGGCAAAAAGCGTGGTACAAGAAATTATTCAACCACTTAGTAAATACGGCAGTGTTGAATGATTACATTCAGTACTGCAAGGCTGGTAACAAGAAAGATCATCTGTTATTCAGAATAAACTTAGTGAATAAGATCATAGCAAAGTCCCATGGACAGAATTTAGAAAAGCGCAAAGGGCGTCCTTCAGATACCGACATGGAATGTACGAGATTGACGGGACAGCATTTCATTCAAGAAAATCCCAAAACCGAAATTCAAAACGGAAAGAGAAAACAAACTTGATACAGGCGTAAAAATTGCCCAGGGACACCCTCTCTCTGCCTAGACGCCTGTTTTGAGCAATACCACACCAAGGTCAACTACTAGACACTGAATATGGGGAGCTGGGAAAAATAGGTTGACAAAATGTAAGTACATATTTATAATAATGAACTGTAAACAATTGTAAATATAATATAATTTTTTGGAATTTTTCAAATAGCGATTTTGTTATTTAAAAATATTTATGTAAATGTCTGCACAAAACCTTCAATGCTTGCGAAAATAAAGCACCGGGAGGGATTTAAATACCCCCGCTTAAATTCACGCTAGATGCATGTAACTGACCGGACGCATATGGTGCGTTGCACACGCTTGAGGGGTTAATCTTGGCTGGATAAAATATAAGAACTAAGTCAGATTATCCTCAATACAGAAACAACTTCATGAAATGCAACTTCTTTGACCTTTACTGGACAGCTGTAATTGCACCCCCACCTTGCCATTGTTGCAATTTGTCATTATTAATATGGTCTAACCGCCCCTTCTTCTCATTGCCCTTATGTTAGGCTCCACTTTCTTCAACTGTCATTAGCCCTTACATTGGGCTCCACTTTCATCTGTCGCTTCCTCGTTGTCTGGTTCAGGGTAGGGTGTGGGATTACTCTGAATCTGAATTTGTATGGGCGCCAGTGGACTCTGGTGAAATCCACGAATTTGGAATGGGGAAAACCAAGGGGGGAATGTGGATAGGTGGGCGTTTGGAATTTCGTCTGCTCAGTGGGTAGGACAAAATTCTGTCTCAGGGCAACTTCTGGGCCTTGCTCGCACAAGGAGATAGAAAACACATGAAACACACACTTCACTCAACACTGTTGCTCTATATTTGCAGATGTGAATAAGAAGTACCTATTACAAGGCTGCAGCACTGTTGAATTTGTGTACCGGACTTGGCCAACACCGATTTAATGTCCGGGAGGTTCGAATGTCCCAAAACCACTCCAGTTACTCTCTTTAGATGAGTGACTCCTGTTACTCCCTAAGACGACTGACTCCTCCAGAGAGGCAGAAGTCTTGACAGTTCCGGGAATGCCCGGTTTCCTCTCCTCTGAATTTTTATGATTGGCTGTACCAAAATTTGGGTGTTACTCTCGTTGACATTCTGCCAATCCCCAACAAGATCCGTGTAAATATGGGCCCAAGTACAAGACAGCTGACAGCTCTCAAATAAATGAAGGTACACTAACGACTGCTGGGTATGCCCCTCCAAAAATTATTGCGACTTGTATTTGGCAAGTCTCAAATTTTCAAAGACTTGCACCGCCGAAGTTAGGTATTGAAATTCCCAGAGAATGCAGCGGGATACTTCCTGTTCTGTCCTGGGTCCACAAGTTACATGCAGCTTGCTTGTCGCTAAGAAAGACCACATGCCATTCTTAGCGTCTGCTGGTGCTGGGGTCAATTGTGTTTCAGCTTTTGTTCACTGGTAATAGAGTCTGTTTACTTGTAGTACATTATAATTAAGAATGTAAATGAACAACATTGCTGAGGTTCCTGCACGGTGTGGTTACAATGGTTACCAGGGATAAAATCTTGCTTTCTTTCTTTATTTTCCCATATCAAAATACATTGATACAGGACTCATGTCGTAATACTATCAGTAAAAAACATATACAGATAAACAATACATATAAATCATGCTTATCAAAATGAGAAGCTGCATAAAAATCAAGACAAGATTACATCAACCACGCAAAAAACCATATCAGATCAGAAATCAGATTATAAATTATTTGTAAGAAGCAAGGTTTTCCATTATTCTCCAATCTAGATATTCCCGCTATGAGCCCCACAGTAGCAAGGGATTTAAAATCTCCCATTCCCAGACAATAAAAGTTAAAACAAGGCCATCACATTCCTCCAGGACAATACAGTAAATTTAACTTGTAATATAATGTCAATCAAAAGTTGTACATTTAATTGTACAGATTTCATATTTGAATCAAAGTGGTTTTAGAATCCAATGCAAAGTAACATACAATGTGGATGTTGTGCATATCTGCATGTATAATCTCCAAAAGCACTTGATCATTCTGAATGACATCTGGTATATGAGGTCTGCCAAAGTTATCTGAATTTCATTTTGACTGCATCAGTCCACTGTAACCGTTACTGTATGTGCAGGTGGTGATGACAGGCACCATAAATCATATAAAATTCTTAAAAAGATTGTAGAAAATATGGGTACATGACAAAAAAATCTCCCATAAAGATCTCTTTTGTTCGAAACATGTTTCGATATATCAGATACTTAAAAAAAAATATGAAAAAATAAGATTAATGCAATATAGTATAAAATTATTTACATCTGATTAGCTATATTAAGAACAAATATATCTGCAACATGTAAATATCGTGAATATATACAGGTTACAAATCTGTAAGCTACAAGGAATACATTTTGAAATCCCATGTACTTCAAAATGTGGAATACCTGTATAACTTTATGCCTGTAGATCCTACTTTGGGTTGATAACACTATTTAGCAGTTGGTTAAATTGCCAAGTCTTCAGATACCCCTGCTGTTTTCAGGGTCCCCTTCATGGTGATCCAGCCCTACTGGTTAGTGCATGGGGCATGAAAGGTTGATATGTAACAGATTATGAGAAAAAAGCTGTGAGAAAGCCTTGAAAGTGGAGATTGCAAGAACGACAAAAATGGCAACACAACATACTGCTGCTATATTGTTACACCCAAAATATGATCAACAGTAACATCAAGCAATTGTAAAAGCTTAAAATAACACTTGAAAGGATTCTGACGATGGTGTATACTGTACTTCTTTTGGACTTCATCCATCATCTGGTACGTAAAAGACAAAAGACTACAATGTTTCGGAGACTGGATCTGTCTCTGTCTTCAGATGGGTAGGGAAGGATAAACCTACTCAGTTGGGCCCGTTACAAAGAGCTAGTCTCAATCACTGGACAAACCCCGGTGTGTAGAAAACAACCTACGAACAACCAACAACCAGTTCCATCAGTGGGAGTTAAGAATAAAATCACAGTAAAAGAATCGCCCAGTGTGGGTGGGTTTCCTGTAAACTTTTGTGGTCAGAGCCATCCCTTTTTTCATGACCAGAACGTCCAGGACGGGGATCGTTCCCTCCGATTCTATTTCCATAGTAATCTGGATTGCCAGTCTCAGACTGTTGAGGTGTGTAAGAAAGTTCTGTATCCCCTCTGCACCATGAGGGCAGATCACAAATGTGTCATCCACATATCGGAGCCACAATGACGGTTTGTCCTGCGCCGAGTTGACAGCCAGTTGTTCTGGTCATGAAAAAAGGGATGGCTCTGACCATGAAAGTTTACAGGAAACCCACCCACACTGGCCAATATCTTACTTTGAATTCCAATCACCTCCCACATGTCAAAAGAGGAATTGTTCATAGCCTTCATGATAGAGCTACCACTATATGCGAAGACCAGGTGTTGGAGGTTAACAACCTGAAACACGACCTTCAACTTAGTGGTTATTCTCAAGGCTTTATTGACTCGGTTATCAGGTCCAAGGGTAGTAGTCGTCAAAAGAAAAAAGAGGAAAAGCCTCTTTGCACGGTTTATATCCCGTATGTCAAGGGCATCTCTGAGAAGTTCAAGCACATAGGGAACCAGTATAATATTAGGACCATCTTCAAAGGTAGACACACTTTAAAATCTTCGCTTGTGAGAATGAGACCAAAAAGGGATCCTCAACAGATGGCACAGTGTCTATAGCATTCCCTGTGAATGCGGCAGAAGCTACATTGGTGAAACAGGCAGACCACTGGCTGTGCAAATCCGTGAACACAGGCACAATCTCAAGCAGGGTCTTCTAGAGAAATCCAGGTTGGCTCAGCATGCATATGAAGGTCATAGGGTAAGCTGGGATGAAGCTAGGATCTTGGAGGTTGAAAATAACAGCAGATACAGAAAGTACAAAGAATCAGCTCATATGGCATGTTCAACCAATCTGATCAGCCAAATCAGTTTGGATATTTCTTCCATATGAAGAGGTTAACAAATAAAAAATGTAAGTTTTTATGAATATTAGTGGCTTCCACTACTTCTGCAAGTTTTGCTCCTGGGATTAGTCTGATTCCTGGAAGTCGCCTTGGTGGCACGATTCTTTATTCACACAGATTAGGCATGCATTATCCAAGTTTTTACTTTCGTTTTTAACTGAATTCTGGAATTTAATCTATACTTGTTATTTACATTGTTGATATGTGCATGCTTGGCACAAATTTTCTATCATGTCTTTTACTGTGATTTTATTCCTATCTCCCACTGATGGAACCGGTTGTCGGTTGTTTTCTACACACCAAGTTGGTCCAGCGATTGAGACTGGCTCTTTCTACTGGGCCCAACTGAGTAGGTTTATCCCTTCCTAACCACGTGAAGACGGAGACAGATCCAGTCTCTGAAACATTGTGGTCTTCTGTCTTTTACATACCAGACGATGGATGAAATCCATTAAAATAACATGTATACCTGTAAAGCCAATTGGAAATACATTGTGTTGAGCAGAACATAAAATAATATCTATTTTTACAGCTTCTACCGGGACAAATTTACTACTTCTAGACTTGTCATTTGGCAACCGCTGTTTCTATGACATATAACAGGCATTGGGCCAGTATGATGAATCTATTCATAACATATAAATATATTTGAAGGTATAATTCTTAAGACTACAAAATGAATGGTTAAGTAATAACTCTCCATGTTCCAACCTATGGTCTCTATACATAATACCTAAAATTTCTGTAACTATTTCAATAATTATGTGGATCTACACATCCATTCTCCCATATGTCTTCATGACAGTGCTTAATTAGTTGAGCACGTCAACATTTTTTTTCCATTGGCGCTACAGCCCTCATTTGGGCCTAGCCTACCTCCATGAAACTCTCCGTGGGACAACATTACCTTAGTATAATTATTACAATGGGAATTACCTGTAACTTTTCAGTTTCCTTTGTTACTGAAGCAATTTCAGACTCTAGTCCCTTCTTTTGAGCAATGAGCAGCTGGATATCAGTAGATGGAACAGGAAGACTTTTTCTTTCTGAAATCGTCACTTTCTGAAGACTTCGTTCAAGAGATTCCTGTTGCTTCACCTGAACTGTTTGTTTGGATGCACATATTTCACGACTTGATGATACCTTAGGCTGAAAATCGTTTTCGTAATTTTCACCTGTATCTGCTAAATAAGCAGTTGGAAACTGTAAATGAACACCACACAACTATGTAACTGTAGTTGGCAGACTACTTATAATACAGTACACTCCTGATTACCTACACCAATGAAGAGGAAAAAACTGCATAATATAAAATAAGGTATGTTCTTGTTTGCTGATACAGTGCATACCACAGCATTTGATTTCATTACAGTCACATCCTAGGATTTCAGAAAAAACTGTACTGAATATAAAATATGCTACTGTCCATGATTTCTGTTTGAAACATTTTTTACTTCAATAAATATTTAGCAAGTTTCACTCAAGATACATGCAGAAACACATGTAAGTCTCAGTGTAAAGTGGCCATTAAAATTTGAAGATCTAAATGAAAATTGACATGGCTTGACAATTTTTTATAACTCTCCAAAATCGAATTTCATGAAAGTCTGTCCAGCAGTTCTTGAGTTCCAGACTTAGTGAAGTTAACATATGCTCAGCAAGCATATGAGCATGCCTAAAAAATGCACAGTCACAGACCAGAAATCCACACAGATATTAAAAAACTAATGTACTATAGTGTCCAACCATTAGTTATTCAATACATAATAACCAGCAACTGTCTGGCCATATAAGCAACAAGCAGCCAGTGTTCCCCACCTGCGGGCAACAGCTACATACATGAAAGTTAAAAACAATCTAATTCAAGGTGTTATTAGATGTTATTCCAATCTTAAAATTTTCTTTTAATACCTACATGAACTAGTGAATTTATTGCAGTACTTACCAACAGATAAACATGCGACCAAACAAAATTATATTACAAATTTCATAGAAAGCCTTTTAAACTGCAATTTGAGGCCATCTTATCATGTGACCATTTGAATATTAGCAAATCCTAATAATGTCCAGCTCATAAAATGAAGTTCTATCAAAACCAGATTTTGAATCTGATGCTACAAGCCAGAAGGTCGCGGGTTCAAGTCCCGATGAGGTCATTGGATTTTTTCAATTGACCTAATCCTTCCAGCCGCACTATGGCCCTGGGGTTCACTCAGCCTCTAACAGAAATGAGTACCAGGAATTAATTAAGTAATTTTCCTGGGGAGTAAAGCGCAGCTGGCGCATAAGGCTGACAACCTTACCACCATTTTTGAGCCAATTGTCTAGATAATGTGAGACCCTCAACATCTCACAACCCTACGGCCTTCACGGCCTGGTACAGGGATAGCTTTAGATTTTACTTTTACTAAATAAGAAATGTAAAAGACAAATAATGCAAAGAACTGGAACTCACCTCCTTAAGAAGAAGACTAGAATCATTGCATTGGGCATTACTTTCAGGACTAACTGTTTTGCTTTGATTTTTGGTTCTAGCTTTTCGCACTACCTCACCATCATTTGAAGTCTGTTCCTGAATACCATCACTCGATTCATGATCACATTCTTTACCAGTCTTTGCTGAACATTCATGTGTCATTATATTATTTTGACCTAACAATTTCAAGGCTTTGTCCTGAACTGGAAATGTTCCTGAATTTGATGATTCCAAAACTGAGTTCCTATTTTCATTGTCAGACTCCACTTCTTCTATTGAGACACTGTCCACTGCATTTTTATCTGGGGTACTTCCAAGAGAAGACCCAACAGATACTGAGAGTTTTTCTATGTTTTCAATAAACACACTTTCTTCAGAATCAGAAGACACTATTATATCTTCCTTCTCCCTGTATTTACTCTTTGATATATCATGTACTGTAGCACTTCTCTCTGGTATATCTACAGTTTCTGAATCAGAAGACTCTATCATGTATTTGTTTTTCCTATAACTGCCCATTAAGGACGAAGATTTCAGTAATTCTGGAAAATTTGACACTGCTAAACTTTCACCCTTTTCTGTCACAGATGCCTCAGAGTCGGATGAAAGTATTACATTCTTTTTTTGCCGCTGTTTACCCATTTTTGACACTAACTTTGGAGAAGGCGATGTCTCTTCTGAAGTGTCCATTACAGCATCTTTTGTACTTTGAGAAGAGTCTGAGTCTGTAAACCCTACTGCATATCTTCTGTACCTCCTTTTATCACTTCTATCCTCATCAGATTCTTTTTCTGAACTAGAATGTGCTTGTGACTGGTTTACAAATGCCTTCCCATATTTCTTTGTCTCCTTTCCATAACTCACATTCCCCTGTGGCAATCTTGAGCTTAACGTACCAAATTTGCTGTCATTCTTCTTAAATGGGCTTTCTTTTTCTGTGAAAGATGACTTATTGCCTTTCTCTACATGCCCACATGAAAGGTGGTATAAGGAAGATTCTTTTTCATCTTTCTGCCTTGATGGTGATTTTTCAGGTTCAGACAATACAGCATGTTGAACATGAAATTTTTTTGAAACAAATGATCTCATAAGTATTGTTTTATTGTAATCCTCTTTAACTGGTGTTCCTTCTAATACATCTGAGCTCTCTGACTCAGAAGAATTATCATGCTGTACCTCAGCCATTTCCAATCTGTATACACTGCAAAAGAACACATCCACATATGTAACATTTTATAAGTTTGAAGAATGGATGAAGGGGGCAGAGATGAATAGATGTTGGCTTCTGAAACTTTTAGGAAAGATAAAGATAAAACCTAGGCAGCATTTTAAGCCTGATCCTAATTCCAAAGTATCTGTTTTAAATATGGCCTGTTTACATTTCTTACATCTTGCAAAAGCAAATATAGTAATATATACTTACAAGATGGAAATGAAATAGTCTCAAGTCCGAGTAGAGCATGTAACATATTTAACAAAACCTTCATAGAAACTGTAAATAAACTTATACTTGACAAAAATTTATTACATCCACAAACTAGTAATAACAATATAAGCATAAAAGATTCACTTGTCCTATTAGAAATAACAGAGACTGAATTGATTAAAGTAATTCAGGGCATGAAGAATAGAAAATCAGGACTTGATGACATCTCGCCATATCTGCTAAAAAAAAACAAAATAAATCCATTCTTAGAATTGGTCAATGCATCAATAAGAGAAGGCATCTTCCCTTCTAAACTAAAAAGAATCAGTAGTCAAACCAATCTACAAAAACGGGATAAAAGAAGATGCAAATAACTATCGTCCGATTACTCTTGTACCTGCTCTTTCAAAAGTTCTGGAAACAGTAACGGCTAACTAATTAATAGCATTTTTAGAAAAACACAATATACTTAATAAATCTCAGTTTGGATTTAGGAAAATAAATCTACTAATGATGCAATTGCCACAATTATTGAAAACACAATAGAAAGTTTGAATGATAAAATAAAATGCAACTGTGTAGTATTAGACTTATCAAAAGCCTTTGACTGTATTCAACAAAACATTCTCATGGATAAATTATACATATACTACATCAATTTCACCACGAAAAATAAGGTGACAAGAGATATGGGAGACATAGAAGCTATTTTAACAAGTATGAATCACATAAAATTTCTTGGCTTAAATATCCAAAATGAGATAACCTGGGATAGGCACATAGATGAGGTCATAAAGAAATTAAATACAGCTTGCTACATGATAAGAAACTTGAAACCAATGGTATCTACTAAAACTCTAAAAAGTGTTTAGTACTCATATTTTCACTCTATCATGACATACGGATTAATGTTTTGGGGTTATTCGTCACATGCTGAAAGAATATTTAAGATAAAAAAGAGAGCTATCAGAATAATAAACGGAGGTAGTTAGAGAGAATCATGCAGAGAACACTTTAGAAACATGAATATACGTCCATTAAGATCACAGTATATATACTCCCTGTTAACATTTGTAGTAAAAAATAGTGAAATGTTTGATATAAACAGGGATTATTATGAAATAAACACCAGGGATAATATGGATATGGATATGAACCAGGTAAACTTGATGAAATATGGCAATGGAGTATTTCACATGGCTGTGAGGATGTACAATGCATTGCCCAATGAAATTAAAACAACCTTTAATAATATAAATAATTTTAAACCTAACTTAAAGGACTTTTTGTATAGTAATTCATTTTATAGACTGAATGAATTTTTATTAAGAGATAATCATTGTACAAATGCATAAGTATATGAGATGCTGAGTAGAATATTTACTGACTTTAATAACTAGAATACAATTATAAATATTTTAGAATAATATATGATGTATTTATTTTATATATTATATTTTTAAAAACTAGTATACAAATATAATATATTTAGTAGAATGTATACGATGAATTCATTTTATATCAAAGAACTGTACGATCAATATTTATTTTATGTAAAAATCTCATCTTGAATTTTATTTAAGTTTTAACGTTTAAATATTAGAGAATAACTTTACTATGATGTAAACAATTTTTGTTATAAATTATACATAGATTTTATTAGACAACTGCTTGATTGTGTTAGCAAGATAATTTGACACAATTCTGTATCGAGGCTTCCACCTCAAATGGGTGTGATGGAACAAGAAATTGAAATTACAGTTAAAGTTAAATTCCGTGGTATACAACGTAAGCTAATCAAATCCTATCGCAGTAATAGAACTCAACACGTAAAAGTAACACACACAGAAGGCAATCGTATGAAAGAATATTTGTCAAGTAGCCTCCCAGTGAGATACGGAGTCCCCCAGGGATCGGTCCTTGGCCCATTACTCTTCATCTTGTATATAAACGATATTCCACATCTAACACAAGGCAGATCAATAATGTATGCTGATGACACATCAATACTGAATGTAGGACAAGATATGAATGAGCTCAAAAACATGACTACAAATAATATAGGAGTGGTAGAGCAATACTTTGAGACAAATAATTTATTTATAAATCCATCTATAACTCACTATATTATCTTCCAAACTAAACAATGCAGGCAGGAAAGTAATCTAAAATTCCTAATAAAGAACAGGGAAATATCAAATGTAAAAAGCACAAATTTCCTGGCGATAGTAACAGATAGTACCTTGAGCTGGGAATTACATATTGAAAAAACCTGCAGTAGAATTAGCCATAACCTGTTCATAATTAACAGGCTACCTAAAATACTCAATTTATATGAAAGAAGAATGTTGTATTACGGTTTGATCTATCCTCATCTATCTTATGGAATAACAGTAGAGGGACATAGTGCTAAGACCCTTACTAGCAGAATTTTTGTACTCCAAAAAAGGGCCGTAAGATACATTGCAGGGCTAAAACATCTGGAATCATGCAGGGATAGCTTTAGAAATCTATAGATTCTTACAGTATACTCGCTATATATACAAGAAACAATCCTATATGTAAAAAAAGTGTAACTGCTGAGTAAATGAACAAATACATAAATATAACACAAGAAATAATAAAGACTATCATATATATGGGCACAACTTAGAACTTTATAATAGTAATCCTTCAGTAGCTGGCTGTATCTTTTACAACAAACTGCCTAACGACATAAAATACATAAAAACAAAAATCAGTTCACAAGGGAATTGAAGAACTTACTTATTCAGAGGTGCTATTACTCAACGAGGGACTATTTGAACAATGAATTCTCGCATATTGCTACTGATATAAGCAGAAGTATATAGTATATAATGTATAAAATGTATATCTTATATAATTTCTTAGTATTAAGACTGTTGTAATTTAATAATGTACATTAGCTGAAAGACTTGTCCTATATAATTGTATCATGATCTAGAGGATTAATAAAAGAATGAATGAAATGAAATAACATTTGATGGAAATCATTCTGATATGGGGATACAGGTCATGTCATAGTTTGTACAGTTGCACACAGGGTATTCCCCACAGAGCCTTGGGTTCAATCTTGGGCAATTTAATGAGATTTGTGTGGATGAAAGGCCATCGGAACAGGGTTTTCTCTAAGATTCTTCATTTTGGCCCCACTAATCATCATTCTACCACTGGCTCAAAGTCACCAATCACCACCCTGAGGTTTATAACAGTCCTAACCTAGCATAACATCATCAAATTCTTAGTCCATAAGTCTGAATATTTGGTACAAATGATAGAATTCTTTTCCACCGCTTTCTTAATTCACCTCTTGTCACTCACCTATCCATGTTATTTCCTTAAAAGTCCCCCCCCCCCATAGGTTATTCCACAAGGCTTTCAGCGTCTTAAGAGTACATAATATCAAATGGTAAGATGACAGATGAACTGGAAAAGGATTTGCAAGGAAGGAGTTTTGGTTTGTGGCACAATCCTGGCATTTTGCGAGGAGACTGACGAGAACCATGAAAGTCTTCAATCAGGACAGCCAATGTCCTAGAAGGGATTCAAACCATGAACCTCCTACATACGGTTCTACAGTGTAAACTGCTAAACCAACCTACTGATTCCTTATAATGAAAATGCGTTTTCAATGCCATTTAAATCCGGTAAATTATAATTTAATATCTTTAATTCTTTAACTACGTAACGATACGAAACGTTTGAGAAACAGTATGGAAGCGTGAATTCCCAAATTTAACATGTTCCCAATTTCATTGCGGTAAAATTCTATTTGTCATTACTAATACAATTTTGATTTATTACTTATCGTCATTCCCAGGTACTAATACTCTGCAAAACATAAAGGATTTTATTAATTATTCTTCCTATGGTTTTGTACTATATTTGGTAATATGTGTTTCTACACATATATCTTGACCAAACTCCTGAATCTACATTCTTCTATAAGGTATTTCTGTTTGCGCTTAACAAAGTTCAATCATAATTTATAACAACATACAAACCCAAACTAATTAACACATTTGAATCTCCTTGCAAACACTGTTCTGTTTATTAAGTAAATTCCGAAAACTACAGTTTAGACGCTTCCTTTCGTTCCTTACACCACGGATCACCTACAATCACCTAAACTAACATGCTGGCACCATTCACAAAGTTCACAAGGAGCATGACATCTCTCAAAACTGAACAATTTCCCTCAATATAGTACAATATTCCCCTTGATAGGTACGAAACGAGTTCGGCTAAGTAATTGTATTTAAATGAAAACTGCAGCAAAGTCAGTATAGGTCAACATTTATCTGAAAAAAATTCCAACTGACAATGGATTGAAACAAAGAGGGGCTTGGCGACATCGCTTTCGTACAGCCCCGTGAAACTCTATTGTTATTGATCAGCAACATGGCCGCCATGACACCTCGGTGCAATGCTGCTGCCATCTATTTTCAGCTTACGTGAACTAAATATAAAGTTACTTCAAGGCCGAGAGCACAATCGGTAAAAATGTATGCTACCTTAGCAAACATTTTGACTGCTCCCCAACCGCCAACCCCTTAAAATTCTTTTTTTCGCTTCCTGCAATAAATACTTTTACAGCCAGATCTCTTTCCTTCTGGCTTTCCCGCCACTATCCTATATGCATTCCTCGCCTCCCCCATTCGTGTTACATGCCCCGCCAACCTTATCCTCCTCGACTAGTGATATTGAACACAGTTCAAAAATTGTGAAGTGTATCCTAGTGAGATAGGATGGTATGGTATGGATTCAAATGATCTGCCTCAGGATAGGGACCAGTGAAGGGCTCTTGTGAACAGTAATGAACCTTTGGTTCTACAAAAGGCTGGAAAATTCTTGAGTGGTTGCACTATTGGCAGCTTCTCAAGAAGGGATCAGCTGCATAAGTGTAATATCACTTCACCCATATCCTTTCAGTTGGATTTGAGTGAAGTTCTATTAAATTTGGTCCACCACCCAATTAAAAAAATATAAAATAACAGCAGAAAACGAGCCTCTGCAGCTCTGGTGTACAAGAGATTAGGTTGCAAATTATTTATCTGGAGAAAGTTTGTCGCCAGTGCCTGGAAAGCCATAACCTTTCTTTCACATGAAACACCTCTTTAACCAAAGGCACTGAACATAGTGAACTGTGACATAAATGGAATACTTATATTTAGGAAAGCTGAAGGTGGGGAAACTTGAAAAAAAAAAAAAAATTGTTTCCATCAGAGATACATATATTAAGCCTCATAATTTCCCCATAACTTACACTTGAAAGCCATACAGAACACAGTTTGTCGGTTACGTTTAAGTATTATAAATCATATATTGTAAGAAACAATACCCATGTTCCCATTTATTAATATTTTCATTAGAATGACGGAATTCAAGAATGTGAAATACACTCGTCAACAAGATTAAGACTGCATTTAATGATATAAGAAAATCTGATATGTTAATCTTCACCAGTTCAGTACTGGGCAGAATATGGCAGAAAAAAAACGTATCTTAAAAAATGTAATGAATACTGAAAATCTGGTATCTATTGATATACCGGTTGAGTAATGGAAAGGATTATATGGCAAAAGTAACATATCTTACAAAAAATGTAATGAATACTGACAATCTGGTATCTCTTCAATTTCCACTTCAGTATTGGATATGATTATACAGAGTGTTTCACGACTTTAGGGCATAACTGCAGGAGGTGATTTCCTAGATCTTTGTGATAAAAAAGTTCATATAAATATGTGTCCGATTTTGGACGGTTACGGAGTTATGACCGTTAATTCATTCCCTTACATGCCCTCGTGTGAACCGCGTGTCAGCTGGCGGGTCGCTTTTTTAGCCAGCTACAGACAGAGCGTTCTCGTTATCTCGACACTTGAGAGCTACAAAGGCGTAGTGGGTTGGTATGTCCGGCGTGGTTCACAACTGAGCGGCAGTCTGTGTTGCGGCCGGCGGTGGCATTTCCAAAAATCAGTTTTAAGCACCAATAATTTCAAATTAAAGGTAATTTCACGAAGTTAACTTTACATTCATATTTTAATGTATCATGTATTATGCTGGATTATTATTTTCTTCCGTTTATTGTCAGTAATCGTTACCTTCTATTCTGAGTGTAACCAGTCATAATTCCATGACCGTCCAAAATCGGACAAATATTTATATGAACTTTCTTGAACACAAAGACCTAGGAAATCATCTCCTGCAGTTATGCACTAAAGTCGTGAAACATCCTGTATAGCAAAAATGAATAATATATGTTAAAGAAATGCAATTACTATTGAAAATCTTATGTTCATGTTCACTAGTCCAGTACAGGTAGCATTATATGGCAAAAGCAAGAGAAGGAATACATCTATAACAACAGAAGTGAATAATGTAACAAAAATGAAATAGGTAAAGAAATTACATAAATGGTCCCACCCACATTCAACCCTAATTCGGATTCTGATTCTCAGAGTTTCACACTGAGGTAGATAACACGATTTTTGCAAGTCAATTATACAGTTATGCCTCTTCATTCCTACCTACACACAAAGAAGACCCATGTGTGTTAGAAAACAATTTCACATACACACAATTGAAACAATTTCGTGAAGATAAAGGCCAGAATGAACTCTGACCCAGAGAAGTTTTATATTCGGAGACGAAGGAAACATATTTATAAAGAGGGGAAAAGATGGAGCTCAAGTTCAAAATAAGTTTCGTGTATGTAATCGAACTGTGGCTGACCATGTTTTCATTCACTGCAACAAGTTTGCAAAGCGGGAAAGAGATGGAGCTGAAGTTCAAAGTAGGTTTCTTGTGGGTATTAACTGTAGATGACGATGTAATCATTCGCTGCACAATAGTTTCTGTTGCTGTCCTGTAACTGCTTGTTACCAGGGATTCTTTCTCCAACTTATGGAATATTTAATAATAGTGCAAGAATAACATCAAATACACATTGTCTTTCACTACACACCCACTATTAATATATGAACTTACTTTCGTTAATTCAATAAATGTACGTTATGGTGTATTCTTCCTTCACACATACTTCACTTTCATGGTTCTGAGGGAAAAACACTTCGATTTCGTTGTGGAACGGACGAAACACAAGTTTGTAAAACTTTGTGCTCTCGCCATTACTCGGTCCAGGATAATACACACATTATCTCACTGAATCTTTTAAGATATACTTTCAGGCAGATAATTAATCACAACTGGAACATATATGTACATAAACATACACACATAACACCGTCATATTATTTATAAACACATCTTCATACCAGGAAAGAAACATACCTTCATCTTGTACACCGGATATTGACGTCACAGTGACAGGGCAGCCAACCGCTTAACATGACTGAAACAGAAATATTCCATTATCAGTTCCATTATAGGGCGGTAATTTTTCACCCTATTATTTTCGTGTAACCATTGTCGTGTATAATTCATATTCTACTTCCTATTCAGGCAGGGAAATTCGGGCGAAACATATGCCAAGCGGTCACTCAATTGGTCGCGTATCCATCCACGACAAAGAAGGGGACGACTTCACTGATAATAAAGACTTTTCGTCATAACGTTATGCCATTGGAGGGCAGCACAATGCCATAATACGTAATATTCAGCAGTCATTTGTATCACCGCGGGGGATTCGCAAACTCGTGAGGTGGGAGCGGCATTTTCGACACAATCTAAGCTAACACCTAGCAATATAACATCGGAATATAAGAGCACAGATATTATGGGTGGAAAAATAGTCCACATGCTCAATTTTATACATAACGTCATATTTCCAATTGTATTCCATGTTACGACAGTCCTATATTACGTTCGGTGAAATAGCAGCTTCGTAAATGACGTCACACCCCGGTGTACGCAATCAACCACTGCGCATCCAATTGTAACACGGGGGGTACCCTTCCGTACCATTTGCTAATGTTACGTTGGATTAGGTTAGGTTAGGTTAGCTTAGGTTAGGTTAGGTTTGCGCAGTACACTACTGAATGGATCAAATCATACCTGAAAAACAGGTATCAAAGAGTTGAAATAAATAATAAAAACTCCAGTCATAATGCATTTTCAAACTGGGGAATTATAAAGCACGGTGTTCCACAAGGATCAATTTTAGGTCCCTTACTTTTTCTTCTCTACATAAATGATCTATCTAAAACCATCAACAATAAATCTAAACCAATTCTATATGCAGATGACACTAGTATAATATTTAAGAACTCTAAA